CATCCATGATCAGGAGGGGAAACAGATTTGCACCATGAGATCAACCAAAAGTAACAGGGTCACTCAGTCAAGTTCTGGTCCCAGTTTCTAATGCCCAACAAAAACACCTTTATCTCTGGCATTTATAATGCCAATGTCTGAGTAGTGTCTGAGATTCTGTGGCTAAGATAATCATGTAAACCAACTGTGGCTTCTCCACCCTGAGCTGGCTAAAGTATACTTGATAACATTAATAATATTATGACTTGGGCTTTTACTAGTTTATTGATCTTTTTAATTAGGAGAAACAGCTTTGCACTAAAAGCTGGAGACGGAGAGAAGAACCTGAGCGCAGAAGTAGGGATTAGGTTCCAAAATGATAATCAGAGCTCATCCACCAAAGGAAAGTCTCTGCTTTCATGCAGCCTTGCTATCAACAAACATCATGCTGGGAAATGTTTGCCACTAAATCGCAAGAGTGCCACCATTATGAAAATGGTATAGGTTTTATTTTCCTTTTTCTGCCATGATTAAATTTCCACAACATCTCCCCAAGCACAAGTTTTACAAAAGAAAATAAAAACTCATGCTTTACAGATCTTAGACTTGTCAGCTTAGCTCAAAGCTCTCGCCATCTTCCAAACAGCCCTCTTGCTAAGCCCATCAGTTTAAAAGTTCTAGCAGAGGACCTTGGCTAGCCTCTAGCCATTCTTCCCCACTTTCCTTAGTCACATAGAGCCAAACAGCAGAGTGAGGCTCGAAAGCTAGAGGTGGAACACAAGTACTAACTTCCCCCAGTAAGAGACAGTATCTGAAGCTTGATGAAGTGTGGGGGAGACTTAAGGAAAAGGTCTAACTCCAGCCAGAGCCAGAGTTGAAAGAGGAGGAGGAATGTGCTTCAAGTTGTGGTATTTGTGCATCACTTTATGAGCTTTCTTTATTTTCTTTTACATCTTATACATCCCCACTCCTGATTCTACCATGCCTAGAGTGAAGGGATTCACAGGTGCCATGCCAGGGCACAAGGTGGTTATGTGGGAGGGTGGGATCTACGGATTAGTACCCTGGATGAGGATCCCACCTGAGGTAAAAGCTGAACCCCCCTGGGAGTTGCTATGGGAGTGGGTAGGAGACTGTAGGAATGGGGAGAATTGGCAGGTGGTAGATGGGCAGGATTGAAATCTCCAGGGTGCTTGATTTTAGGGGAATGTGGATTTGTTCCTGGTTGTCCAGCACTGGGATTCCATATGTTCAAATGTTCCCAGAAACTTTTATACCCCAATTGGGTTTAATTAGTCCCTCTCAGTCACAGCTCTCACTGACAACTCATGCTTCTAAATGCTAGCGGCTTACTTTATTTGATGACCAGTTCTTCTGAAGTGTGATTTCTTTGCACCTCTTTGCAAGTTAACTTCTGTTCTTTTATAAAAGTTCACCTGTCCCACAAAAACTTGGAGTCCTTAAGTCTGGACTATGGTATGAGAGTGGCTTTGAGACCCTACAAGTGTCCCAAACTGCTGTAAAACGTGAGGTGGGAATTCTCCATTGAGGTGCGTGTTTAAGCAGAAGAAAACTGATTAGTGATTGAAGATTTAAGCAGCAAACAGGAGATTACCTCAGGTGACTTTTCAAGTCCATTCCTTTCTGATTCAAAGATCCTGTTTTCTTTGGAGTGTGCCAACTGAACACCTGAGGTTGACCCTCAAACTATGAGTTTCAAATGTGTGGGCCCACTTATTTACAGAATTTTTTTTAAACAATAAATGGCTTAAGATATCCAAATGCTATACAGTAGAGTTATCAATTTCTTAATAACAATTTCTTTGCTCTAGCTTATTTTATTATAAGAATACAGGATATAATATATATATATAATATACAAGGTATGCATTAATTGTTTAAGTTAAAGGTAAGGCTTTCAGTCAACAGTCTATTAAGTTTTAAGGAAATCGACAATTCTATGCACATTTTTGACAATGGGGGGGATGGCTCCTCACTTTTGTGTTGTTCAGGGGTCAAGCATTGTGTGTTCTCTCATTCATCTGACAAGGGCTTGCTGTGCATCTAATCTATGCTGGATTTTATAGGAGGCTCTTGGGATATAGTGGGAAATGAGATAGGAGATAGATGTGATGCCTCTCCCCACAGAACTTACAATCTAGTGGAGCCAAGAGACATTAGTCAAATAATGATAAAGGACTCAATTAGGCTGCAGAGCATGCAACACAGAAATGAGTGGTGCCATGAGAGCCAGTAAAAGGGGATTTGACCCACTCAGGAAAGATAAGGAGGCTTCCCAGAGAAATCACCTCTGCGGTTACCAGGAAAATAAATAAATAAATTACCTTACCCTGAATTAAACTATAGAATTCAAATATTTTAAAGTTCATAGTATCACTAATGTCTACCTTAAGAAACTCTGTAAGAAACTGTTGGAAGAGTTTGCCAGCAAGGACATAGAAAATGGGAATTGACTCATCTATAAATAAGGAGATCAGAAGTTCAGTTAAATAAGTTCAGCTGTTCTCATTCGCATGCCTTTATAGCCTGTTTTTTTTTTAATGTTTATCTCAGAACTATTACAGAACAATTTTCTTTTGTGCAAAAAGAGCAAAAAAGAACTTACAGATTACTCCCTGATGCATTTCTCTTTGGAGATAAAAGCTATCAAAGGGAAGATAAAGCCATGATTGGCATTTAGTATTTGTTGAATGAGTTGATAAATAAACAAGAACAAACTTGAACAAGAAATAAGAATTAAAGTTGAATACTTAGGTTCAAAAAATGATGTAATGTGGGGAACTTTTCTTGGCAAATGCTCCTGAGTAAAGACTTAAAGGGGTTTAATTATCTGCAACATTACATCGGCTAAAAGTATTGTGAAATATTCAAAAGGCTGACATAAATGAAAGTTTCATGAAGTAAAGTTCAGTGCCCAGAAATAATCATCCCGCTCGCCTCTTTATCACTTCAACCTCGAATTTGAGTTCAGTTCTGGACCTGTCTTCCAAGAGAGGGAGTGAGGGGTTAAGACTTAGTGCTTTCACCAAGGACCAGTGGTGAACTTGGAAGGATCTAGAAGTTGATGATGCCTGGATAAATAATATGAAAACAGGAATAACAGGAAGGACTCAAGATTAGTGGTCAGGAGAAGAAAGGATCTGAAAGTTTCCATCTAGTATATGAAGTCCTGTCCAGTGGGAGGAGAGCAGCTTGTGCTATCCTGTCTTCAGACCTGTCCCCAGTCAGGTGACAACAGTGATTCCTACTTGATTCCAAGTCTGACCCACATGGGTCTGTGGATCTTGAGGTTGCTAAATAAACTACAAAATAAAAAAATTACTGAATTTAACTATGTGTAGGTAAAACTTCACAAACAAGATACCTTTTAGTAGAATATTTTGGGTTCTTCAGACACTAATATTATTGTGATTATTCAAGTTAGAGAGGTGAATTCAGTGGTTTTTCAATCTTTGTCAAACTCAGAAACCTCTCGTGGAATTACTACTATCTTTAGACATATCTAAATATGCCAGCAAATTTTGACCTAGACTTTTTCTCTTCACTAAGCTCAGTACTCACTCCATTTGAGACATGGTGCCTATATTCAAAGGTATCTTCATTCACAACACATGATTAATCGCAAACCTGCGCTGGATAATGACAGGTGGAATTTCATCCCACCTCACAGATTCACCAGGCATTCCTCTAGTATCCTATGTAGTACTGTGTACCACCCATAGTTTATGAAAAGAAAAGACTGAACAGTGGACTTGTCATCTCTGAACAAAGACTGAGAATCTTGGGAATTCATCTAGCCATTTGTGTGGACATTGTTCATCCCCAAAACTCATCCATCATTCTTAATAGCCCCCAATTCTCTCAACTCAATTCAATATCAAGGAGTATTGCCATTCCTTCAAGATATTAAACTGCTTAAAACTTTGCAAATACATGTCTCAAAGTTACAATCTCATCCTATCCACCCTATTCTTGGACTTAAAGAAAAAGAAATGAAGTCATCCTTCCATTTCGTTTATGTAGCATGAATTGCAACTCAATTGCAAGCCTGATAGGAGCTAGATTTTTAATCTTCTTTTCTTTGCTAAAGGATGACAATAGAGCACTGACAAAATAAAGAGAGTGGCCCTTTTACTTCAAAATGTTAGAATAAAAAAGAAGAAATGTGCTCTGTGAAGTACTTTGTAACTTGCCTGGAGACCAACACGTGAGAATGGACCACAAGCCTGAATGAAAGTTTAAAAAAGAGAGAAATTAACGTGGGTAGGATAGGGTACAATAGTGGGGATGAGACAGTCCCACACTGAAGTGGGACTTTCAGTTAATATTTGGACAGGCAGAGAGGAAGAGAGAGAGGCAGAAAGTGAGATCTAAGAGTCTGGGAGTCTGGGGATGCCACCAAAGCTCACTGAATTCCACTCTTTCATCACACTACTATTTATACAAACATCTTCATGGACAAGATGTAGTTTTAATTACTTGGTCACCTAGTAAGTGAGTTCTACCCCAATAGTCTCTTTTCACTTAACCCTAATAAATCATAGTGAATTACTATAGAAAACTTGGCCCATTACAGGGAAAGATTTAATGCTATGTTGAAACCACCTCTTAAGTAAAAATGAAAAACTGATTGGCTTCACCATATTTCTTCCCAGAAATGAAAACATTTATAAAGGTTTCCTTGACCACGCAGGGAAGAAAAATGTGTTTATCGCTCTGTTTAATTCCAACAGACTCAATGACCACATGGCCCAGGAGGGCCCCAAACTTCCTGTCTCCATAGATGTGATCCTCTGAAAGTAAAATTAGCTCTCGTTGACTAAATGTGCTTGCTGCTTTTCACATGTGTACACTTCATCGGTGTTGTTATAAATAAATGGTATCTTGATTTAGGACGCACCAGCTACAGCTGCTATTTCGGTGCTGCCTTAGCAGTCTAAGCTTTCAGGGCAAGTTGTATTTACAGGAACGAAAATGGTAGCACAGACCTGTGCACTTACCAGTTCCGAAGCTCTCCTCCCCACAAAGAGACAGTTTGCTTGCATCCATCAAATTCCCAAAAAACTTCCAGCCAGTTGGGGTTTCATACAAAGCAATCTTTGTAGCATTAGCCACCCTTCAAAGGCATGAAATCAAAGTTACATCACAGCAGGACAGTAGCAAAGCCATGTGAGGGATGGAAAATAACACCCGTTATTGTAATCAAGGGTTCCATTTAGCATGGCTCGGAGGTATACATAATTCTAAGACTGGTGGAAAATCTAAGTAAAAACTTGTGCACAATGGGTTATTATATGTGGAGTCAGAGAAGGGGTTAGAAGAGGAAGGAGAAAGAATTAATTTAGATCACGGAGTAATATTTTAGAGGAAGTAATGGTAGCAAAATGTGCAAGACTGTTTTTGAAGCCATTTAAACCCACGTGGTTTTGATACAGACTCATCTATAATGATTCTGTAAAGAACAAAAGAGTAATGTTTTAATCCTGTGATTTATTTTTCTTGTGTCTACAAAGTCAGTCTATTCCAGACCAGGAAACTGGGCCCAGAATGTTTTGTGTGATCAGCCGAAGGTCAAGCAGCGTGAACAACTACCTGCTATTCAGGCGCCCAGTCAACACACCTTCATTTCACCAGAAAGCCTGGCAAATAACTGTCTAGAGCAGCCTCTCTTTTACTCCAGTTTCATCCACAGTGATCCACAAACTCCTCTCCCCTCCAACACATCTTTTGCTCTTCCATCTATCTATATCTTTAGACTATTTAAAACTTTCCTTGAGTGATTTTTTTTAAAGATTACTTTCCCTTTGAACAGGAAAAGTTATGTACATTTCACTCACTATTTTAAGTGAGATTTACTTTCCAGAATGCTTTTTTTCTTGTTAGCAAAACAAGACCATGTTTGGTTTCTAGCATTTGAATAACATTAACTCTATGATTTTGAAAACTGTGAAAGAATAGCCTACTTTTGTCTGGGTCATGAGGTTTGCTCAATGTGAGTCGCTATATGAATTATAAATTTTTCCAAAAATTGGAATTAATTTGTGCTTGGCTGAAGGTCAATAGCACAGCTACGAATCAGCTCATGGCTGCAGATGGGGGAGTGGAGGCCAGCACCAGCTTCTGATTCTAGCTCTGATTTAGCCATGAGGTCCTGGGAGGCCACCAAGTCTCTCTAACTTTTGGTTTCCTCTTTTTTTTGAATAAGTATGGCTACAAGGATCCATTGAGATAGTTAAATAAAAATGTACTGTGTAAACTACAGCCAATCTATGAATATCAGTCATTATTTTCTTGTTAGATGAAGTTACATCAGCACACTAGAAAACTACTTTATGTCCCCCATGCTTAGGAGCAAAGATTCTGAATTCAAATTCTTACTGAGTCATTTACTGGCTTAATGACCTTGGGAAGTACCTTATCCTCTTTGTTCTTTTGTTTCCCCACCTGTACAGTGGGGTTATACACAGCATTACTTCATGGGGCTGGTATAATAAATAAATGACTTAAAACATACAAAGTCCTTAGTGTCTAAGTACCACAAGGTGATGAGCAATACATACACACTATTCTATTAAGAGTCTAGATGTTATGCTTTCCTCCCTGGTTTTAACCTTTTATTCATTTACGCATTTATCCATTCACTCAACCAATATTTACTGGTACTTAGCCTTTCCTAATTAATGTTCCCCATGGTCATTTTTTTATTGATTACTTATATTCTCCAACTGTTTTAGATATGACCTCATAAGCCACCTTACAACATTGAATAAAGAAGGGACATACAACAAATAAATAAATAAAGTAACAAACCAGTTGTATCAACTGTTTATTACCACAGTTTCCTTTCTTTCCATAAAAACTCAATGCAATATTTTAAGCCTATGAGCTTTCTATTTATTTAGATTTGGGATAAATTAACGTTGACTATATTTATGTGTGCATGGACATCCAGTGGGATAGGATGGAGAATGTTCTTCTGAAAGTTCTGTTGAAATACAGATCTTACTTCAAACTGCTCTTGCAATCCAAACTGAGCACATTTCTGAAGGAAATGATTCTCTGGAGTGATATCTTAACCACAATGAAAGCAGCATCCATTTGCTAATTTATTAATATTCAATCATTCATTTTTAAATGAAGCTATAAAATGGGGCAGTGGGTATCCTACTATGTGGCAGGCACAAGGTCAGACAGAGGTTACGATGAATGGTAAATAGGCATTTATCTGTAAAATTTTATTATGTAGCAGGGCAGACAGTCAAGCAAACAGGCTATCAGAACACAGTGTGATAAGAGCTGGGATGGAAAAAGTGCAAATGCTAGGGGAGGTGAGGAATGGGCACATAATCCAGAAAAACTTCACCTACTCCTTTACAAAATACTTATTTAGCACATATTAGGCCTACACTAACAGAAGGGGTTGCAGGCACACTGAAGCACCTGGGGAAGGCCAAGGGAATGCAGAGACCTACCGGTCCAGAGCACCACTGGTGGGCATGCTGCGTGCAAAGCCACGGACTCCAGTTTGCTGGAAGTATGGAATGCTGAAGATGTTGGCAGCAATGACAGCCACGGAGTCTGAAGGGTTCACAAAGAATCCATGCTTGCCCAGAATCATGTTTCGATCCTTCCGGAGAAAGGAGATTCAAAGGAAGATCTTTTAATCAAACTGCCGAAGAAACCAAAGTACCTTACATGGGAAGTTTTATAAAATTTAAATCTGACACATGTATTCACTATGGATAAACACTTTATTTTATTTCTAATGAATCTGTACAGTACCACTGGGCCAAAGATATCTCTATGCCAGAGAGCGAAACTGTTTTCAATTAAAGTGCAAAGGCAAACTCCTTCTAAGTCAAATTTTCTACTCTGTTCTCCCTCCAGAGGCCACTGGCTTTAACCTCCCACATCTATTCCAAGCTCTGGAACCAATCACCCTCTTCCAATGGAAGGAAGAGATCATGATGAGAGGAAATGTGGCTGTTTACAAAATTCAGTAGGTCTGTAGGCATCTTTCAAGGAGCAAAGCAGATTTTTTTCAAGGGAAGACTTCTAAATCATGATTCCTCCATTTGGTGTAGAACCCAACAGAATATGCTGTCCCCTTCACTGCTTGCCTGGTGACTGGTCAACAGCAAATACTCAAGTGACCTAAGTATTGAGGGGGGAATCTCCCAGCATGCCCTGCACCAGAAAGATGCATTGACAAATACTGTCTGCTGGGGGCCCCTTTAACTTCCCAACAAATTGTCATAAGTAAAATTATTTTTCAGGAAATACTAGATGGCAACTATGTTACTGAACAACAGCAACAACAGAAAATGTTTTCTACTAAATAAACAAGTTACTGTATGCTATCTCTGAAGTACCAAGGATACAGACCTAAGACACATCTCCTCCTGTTATATATAGTTACTAGTATAATGAATCAGCCTGTTCAATTAAAAAGATTAAATGTAAAGAGTTCATTAGAGTTTCACCAATTAGCTGACTAGGTTTACCAAAGACTGGATAAATAGCCAGCGGCTGGTTGAGAGAATAAATCTACTTTAGGATGAGTATATAAAACCCAATCAGTTTAGAAACACTAGTCATTACTTTATAACCAGAACTTAAATATTTTGCCACTAATAGCAAACATGGCTGTCTGAAATTAAATACATGGGTTGGATTTGAAGGACTGATTTCTAGTCAAGAGCATACTTCAGTAACTGAGCCCTGATGCCAAGTGGGATGAGGGATCCTTTACTGGCACTAAGTAGGCCCACAGAGTTTGGAAGAAGTAGACCACATTTTCCCCATTTGTAGAATAAGTCCTAGCCTGCTCCTACAATGTAAAAAATAAAACCAACCTGTTAATTAAAATTATTAACTTCAAGATGCCTATACCTACCCCATCTCCATCAAAGGCGGCCCCGAAGTCATGCTCTCCTGTCTTCATGGTCTCCACTAGATCAGCTGCATAGGTGAGGTTGGGGTCAGGATGGTGGCCTCCAAAGTCCTCCAGAGGAACACAGTTAACTGCTGAGTTTGCAGGGGCACCAAGTTCTTCACAGAGGATCTTCTTTACATACGGCCCCACAACTATGTAAAGCAGGAAACAGAGAATCAGGAAATAAAGCTAAAGCATGTGAGAAATCAGGGATGAGGTGGAGGGTTCCTAGGGAGAATGGCATGAACAAGAATGGGTGAGCTGTGCTCAGGGGCTAATGGAGAGAGAAGTCTGACCTCAGTAGAAGGTTTTTCAGAAAAGGAATGATGAGAGACTAAGTTGGAAGGGGCAGGGCCAGTTCCTGAAGAGCAGAGAGGGAAGGGAAAGGAACTCACCATTGGGAAGGTCTTACTACACTAACCTGTGTCAGATGCTTCTCAGTCATGTTCTCAGTCCTTCAGGAAAAGCCTACAAGGTGGTAGTGCTTTAAGAGACTGGGTTCTGGGGTCACAGCGTCAAGGTTCAAATCTCAGTTCTGCCAATCACTGGCTATAGGATTTGAGGAAGCTACTTAATCTTTCTGTGCCTCTGTCTATCTCAGCTGCAACAGGAGGATAATAATAGTAGCTACTCTAACATGGTTGAGGTGAGGAGTAAATGAATTGATACAAAGCACAGAGAATAACTTAATATCTAATGTGAAGCCTTGCCCATATAATGGTTTGTATTATGATTATCACCTCCAAATTGTAGATAAGAAAACGGAGGTTTTAAAATGAAATCTCGTGCCCAAACTTACACAGGTCCTGATGTCAGAATCCTGATCTTTCTACTATATCTGACAAACTGATTTAAAAGAATATAAACAAAAGACAGTAAAAAGACAACAGGCCCTTCCTGGTGGTGCAGCGGGTTAAAGCACTGCACTAAGAAGCTAAAGCCACTTAAGCATGAGTTCAATCCCCGCCTGCCCCGGAGGTGACCACATGGGCGAGGCAGACCTCTCCAGGCCCGCCCGCTGCTCCCCTCAGCAGTGTACTTCGTAGATCTGCCTGTTCTGCTCCCCTTTTTGTCTCGGGTGAAGCCTCTCACCACCCCTGCACCTCTGGCCTATACCCTAGTTCTGTATGAACAAATAAATAAATCTTTAAAAAAAAAAAAAAAAAAAGACAACAACAAATAACAGGAAAAACCAGTGACAGGTTTTTTTGGGTAACATTTAGTATAACTATCAAGAACATTCATCTAAAAGGCCTGGAGAAAGAAATCCACTTGATAACCAGCTTCTCCCATCAGATACCTCATCACAAGTTCCATTCTTGAGCTAGCCCAGACTTCTCATCTATTTTTAAGCCTTCATGCATTTGCTATAGCCACGGCCTCAACTGGAAATCACCACTGTTAATCTTTCTTTCATTAAAGCTGAGATAATCACCACTTCTTCCAGAAACCTTGCTTGATAACCCTAGTCAAATGTGCCTTTTTCCACACCGCAGAAAGAATACTTGAAGTCCTATGTAACACTCATTTGGATGAACCCGCACTGGTTAGTTTTGCATCCACCTCATCTTCCCCCAGCATTGTAAGCTCCTTGAATGGAATCACCTGCCTACTCCTCAGGTATACAGGTAACAGCAACTCAACATGCACCTATTGAACAGTTTTTGAAATGACAGAATAACATGCCTGAATGAGGAAGTAAATCCACCCTGTGGATTCCAGAGGGTAAATGCAGACCTAGAGAGATACTTCAGGGGTTGGAGATCTAAGCCCACCAGATAGTTTCTAACCATGGTTTTGCCCTATAACAGGAAGCTGTGAATTCACATCAATGTCAGGATTCAAGTTCAGGTAGAAACTGACAGGAAGGCAGCAGATCCCCAAACCATGGAAATACTTGCCACTCAAAGACGCTAAAATTCTAAGTTTTTCCCAAACAAATAAAAAACCTACATGCTTGTGCACTCCCATAATCCTATACTTGAGAAAACCATCTCTACTAACCTGACCACACAAGTCACAGAGGAAAAATGGGGGAGAGACACTTCCTGCCTTCCTGAATTTAATCCTCATCTTGCTCTTGTCCTCTTCCAAGAAAAGGCACATGTGAGACAGGCAAGTGGGGGGTGTAGGAGCTTGTTTACCATAGCTAGTAAAAGACAGACCCCCTTGGAAAAAGATGGGGGTGTTTAGGAAGAATGCAAGGTATCTTCTGAGGGGGAGGACCAAACAGTTGCATGTACTGAAAAGCTGATGCTTAATAAGGAAACACTGACCTTCATACTACCTTGCCAGGAGGAATGTCTCTCTGCTATTTTTGATGCATACAAATTAGATTTTTATCTGTATAAGTATTGCTCTGGAATGGCTGCAAAACCACTGTTTAAAAACTAACAGAGTTTTGCAAAAATGTTTGCTGAAGCATTCAGATACACACAGTAGAATGCAGCTTCGTATCTTTGAGAAGGAAATGGAAGGAATGGCTCCATACCTCCATGCATGGCATCTATACGGATCTTTAGTCGGTTTGGACCAGAAAGCAGTTCTTTCAGTGCACTGAAATCAAAGATGTTTCTCAGCATTGTAGCATAAGCTTCCACTGAATCCACGATTTCCACTGTGAGAACAAGGAACATTAAAAAATAAGTTCAGAAGAAATACTGTTCTCTGAAACAATTATATTACTGTAAGCTTGTAAAAGTGATTTTTATTTATTTATTTATGCATACAGAACTGGGGTACAGAGGTGTAGGGACAGTGAGAGAGACAGAGTGGGGAGCAGAACAGACAGATCAACAAAGTACACTGCTAAGAGGAGCAGTGGACGGGTCAGGAGAGGTCTGCTGCGCCATGTGAGTCAACTCCAGTGTGATGGATTGAACACACACTGAAGCAGACACGGCCAGCTTTGCAATGCTGCACTCCAATCCCCTGTGCCATCAGGAAGGGCCATAACAGCGATTTTTAAAGGACAAATTTTGAGCAGTCCAATATGCAGGACTGTTACATGATACCTCACAATCAATACTGACAATTTTCCAAAGAGATCATTGCTGTTAGTCCTGTTTGATAGATGCAGAAGCTCAAGGTTGGGGTGATTAAGTAACTTTCCTGCACAACCAGAATGAGACGCACAGGCTTGCCTGATGGAAAACTCAACCAGGTTGCCAAATTGACTCCCTTTCCATCTCCATGAGAAGTATATTCTGGTGTCAAAGGTAATAGAAACATAACAACTATTTTTCTTTCCTTTCCTTTTCCCAGGCCCACTGCCATCAAGAATTAATAGTAAAGTGCAGAAAAAACATTTTTAATGAATCACTTTTCATGAGCACTTAAATATATAAGAGCAATATGTAAGAACTCAGTATTGCAGTTCTTATTGTTGTCTTTTCATCAAGAACTTTAGAAACTCTCTACTGACTTGAGGGACATTTCTGAACCCCAAGACTGTCTTCAAAATGTACCAATGTGCTTTCTCTTGATTTAGGAGGTACAGTTCTCAATGGGTTAAGCTCTAACAAAAACATGCCCTCCACAAACTGCAGTCCAGAGAATAGAATACATGTTAAGGCAAAGTAAAAATGCAAATTGCGTGGCTAGCCACCTCATCTTCATTTCATTAATATGAGTAACTTTATAAATATCTATTCCATCAATCACCGTAATATTCTGGCATCCAACAACAAAATATTAACCATAACTGCCTATGCAGGGAGTTTTCATTTAGCCACCAAAATGGTCTCATTTGATTGTATTGATTATTAGGGAAAGAAAAACATCGAAGGGCAGGCGTCAGAATCACTCACAACTTAGACCCTGAGTCCTGGCCTACCTTTTACTAACTGTGTGACTTTAAGCCTATTGTTTTACCTCTCTCTGTCTTTGTTTCCTCATCTGAAAAAGTAAATTCCAGCATGTTGCCCTCATAGAGCTATCCTAAGAATAAAATGAGATCATACATATAAAGAATGAAGGAAAGGGGCTTTCCCTGGTGGTGCAGCAGATTAAAGCGCAGCACTGCAAGCTAACTTTAGTGTGAGTTCGATCCCCGGCCTGGGAGGTGATCCATATGGCACTTGTCTCGCCTGTTGCTCCTTTCAGTAGTGTACTTTGTTGGTCTGCCTGTTCTACTCCCCACTCTGTCCTTGGTGAATCCTCTCACCATGCCTGTACCCCAGTTCTGTATGCATAAATAAATAAATCTTTAAAAAAAAATGAATGAGGGAAGGTATATGATAAAATTTCAGTAAAAGTTACTGGTCTTCTAGCCAAAGCTGTTCATTTTACAGGCATGGAAACTGAGGCCTAGGAATGTGCACTGACTCACCCAAGGGCACAAGAATGATCACTGGCAAGGCCCAGAGAGCCCAGGTCTCTGAGCTCCCAAACCCAATTCCAGACCTGATGATTCAAGCACACAATCACACTCTTTCCAGAGCAAAGCCCCAACGTATTAAACCTTGAAAGTCACATCTCCATTGGAATTACAAGTGGGCAGGTGGAGAGGAACATGCCTGTGAAGGGTTTGAACTTATTTTCTAGGTCAAACTGCTGCTTTCCCAGAACTCCAAGGTCTACTTTCAGGTCAGGACAAATTGCATATTCTTCAATTGTCTTGCTAATTTGGAAAATCTTATCAGTGATAGCTTCTGGAGCAGGACCTGGAAATCAGACAGCAAACAGAGTTTTATTTTGTGTGACTCACATGGAAATAAAAATAACATAAATAAAACTCAACCATTCCTCTTCACATTTGCCATTCCATCATTCAGGTAGCAAAGTATCAGGATTTTCTAAAAAAAAAAAAAATTAGCTTGCTCATTATCATTCACATATTATTTCTCATAACCAGGTACAGAACAATGAGAAGCATTTCATTTCCACCAAAAGGAAACAAAGAATCCCTTTGCAAAAGGCTTTGCAATTGGCTTTTATCCTACTGGTGTGTTCTCAAAGCAACAGTAAACTCACCTCCATTGGAAATGTTGAATTTGATTCCAAAATCTCCATTGGGCCCTCCTGGGTTGTGACTGGCTGTCAAAATGATCCCACCAATGGCTTTGATCTTCCTAATAATGCAGGACACTGCAGGGGTGGAAAGGATTCCATTCTGTCCAATAACCAAGCGACCAATCTGGAAGAAAAAAACAGACACATTCTATAACATGAATTAACCCAGAGTACCACACAGAAAAAACAGATAAACAAAGAAATATTCTATTGGAACAGGAATCACATTCTTTAATGAACAGCTACAGTTTGGGGTTGTTACTATTTTGAAAAATGTGATTATTGCTGATTAACATTATTTTTGAAGTATAATCATCACTGTTGAACAAAACCATTCCCTCAGATCATTTTGGAGCCTAGCAGTTTTTGAACAGTGTACAGTCTGGAGGTGCTATAAGATGTTGGCATGAGAACGCAGAGGATTTAAAACAGAGCATTTCCAGACTAAGTTCATAATAAGGATATACTGAAAAGTTGTGAGAAAACCCATATTTTTATCCAATTCAATCATATTTTTAAATATTTAAAAATATTCTTATTTATTTATGCATACAGAACTGGGATACAGGACAGAGGTGCATGGGCAGTGAGAGCATTCACCAGAGACAGAGCTAGGAGCAGAATAGGCAGGTCAACAAAGTACATTGCTGAGGGGAGCAGCAGGCAGGTCAGGAGAGGTCTGCCACGCCATGTGGGTCACCTCTGGGGCCAGGGATCAAACTCTCACTGAGGCAGCTGCGACCAGGTTGCAGTGCTGCGTCCTAACCCGTTGCACCATCAGGGAAGGCAACCATATTTTTAATCCATATTGGGAGAAGGGATATGAGCATTGGTCATTAAATGAATTCTACCCACAGAGAAGACTTGTAAATTAAGATGTTTAGAAAAAGTTAAAATGAAAAAAAAAAGCAAATTTTGTGTAAAGAAATATTATAAAATGTATCTCATAAATGTATATTTATGGTCAGGCCTGAATTTAGGTAGAATAGATAGCTGAGTTACCTCCTGGGCTGAGGCAGGGAATGCTGGGAGTTATTACTGAGTCAACCAGTCAGAACCACCTACCTGAAAGGGCTGCAGGTACTTTGACTGTGTTTTTAACGCACCTTCCTATATCTCTCACAGATGTTATCAGCTCAGTTCCTAAATCTTCCTTTGCAAAAATGACAGTAATTTATACCTTTTTCAACATGACCCAAATTGGAAAAGAAAGATGAAGTGTTGTCGGTTCCTCTGACATTCTTGGAGAAGATGTAACTGCTACATAAACAGATCTATAAACAGATTTCTAAAGTGAAGAGTTTGTGCTCTCTTTCCATTTTTGGAGAGAAGAAAGGCACAGGAATGTTTTTAAAATATCCAGTTGTTATTTCTTTTTGCCCCCACTCAAGATAAGCATTGTTGAAGAAATGACTTGATAGCAAGAGGTGTTTCTAATATTCAAAATGCCAGTGATATATACACAACCTCTGGGAAAGCTTTTCTGGGTTTTGACACCCTTCCACAGATCACCGAAAACTTGACTGCCTTATAATTCAAATCCTCAACTGCCAACTACCTAGAAACAGCTGTTTCATTCCAGCCACCTCTTGGCTTTCATATGTCTGGCTCTGAGCAACTTTTGTTATATTCATATATTCGTTACATTCTGTTTCCCTCAGGAAGTGGGAACAATCAGGTCAACTGTTCTAACTAGGCTCCTTTATAGATTAAAGGAATCATCAGACAATGTGAAATTAATATGAGTGATTATCATTGAGGTGCAGAGTGTTTTCTAAACTGAAGGAAATCTCAATGATTCTCACATTTGCTCCTCCCAATGCACAGATGAAGAAGCTAAGATTCAGAGTTGTCCTGTGCCTGCCCATTTATTCATTTAATCTTTCATCCCTCCATCCATTATCAGTAATAACAAGCATTTGAGGACAGGTGCTGTGACAGACATTAGCACAGATGACATCACAAGGTCATGTGACAAATGAATGACCATAACTGGGAAGAGCATGAAACCTAATGACTCCATTTAGTGCAAACAGTGCCACCTCATTCTTCCAACAGTTTTTGGGTTGGCTTTGATAAAAATAAAAGCCAATGGTAGGGCAGTTACATAGCTTCAGTAAGAGGCAAGTGGAGTAATCTAGAAATTGTATTTGAACATCAAGCAAGTTTTATATGTATTTTGTATGTATTCAGTGCATGTATTTAGTATGTACGATTAATGAATACTAAGCTACGCCACATAAGTCCCGCCTTAATTCTACCTTTCCTCTGGTGAGCTCTGTAATCAGCAAACTTCCAAGACCGAAAAGAGTCTACCAGGGGTAAAAGCCAGAAAGAAAAGTGAAAGATAGAAGCAAAGGAAGACCCTAGGACCTTCTTTCTCTTGAGCCCACCAAGAGGTAAAACTGCCCAAAATATTTCCTTTCCGAGCAGGCTCTTTCCTGTGAATCTCCTTCTGCAACACTAATCCTCAGTCTGTGTCGGAGATCAGCTCCAACTATTGAGGTGTCTGGAGGCAGGACAGGCAGGACCCTAAGGTGGGAAGGCGTCGGCGAGTAGTCTGAAATTGGGAGATATTACTTAAGCATTCTCCTTGCCTTCAAAATGCTTGGATCATTGCACAAGCTCCATAATCTTCCCTGCCTCTCCTGCCTGTACTTCCCTGGCTCTCTCCTGGTTGAATCCATTTTATTGACTCAGCCACACCTAGCTCATCTTTCTTAACCACAAATCAATACCATTGTTATAACACCAGTAGAGCCCAGTGTTTTCTTGTATGTTCTTGTGTTCCTCCTCTATTCAAAAGCCTTCTCTCTACTGTATCACCTACTATATAATCCTACTGAATACATCTAGGTAGAGAACTGAAAGCAGGAACTCAAACAGGTATCTTACACACCATGTTCAAAGCAGCATTATTTATAACCAAAAGGTGGAAACAACTCAAATATCATTCACCTGATGACCAGATAGACAAAATATGGTATGTGCACACATGGGCTGTTACTCAGCCTTACGAAGGAATAACATTCTGTTACAACATGGATGAACCTCAAAAACATACTAAGTAAAGTCAGTCAATAATATATGCAGAGAAATAATGTTCCATTTGTTCTGTTATATAATTTCACTTATATGAGCAATCGCATAGGCAAATTCATACAGAGAAAGCAGAACAGAGGTTACTAAGGGCTGGAAGGACGGGAGAGGGGATCTAATGTTTCGTGACTGAACTTCAGATGGGGTGATGAGACATTTCCGGAAATGAACAGTGGTGATGGGTGCTGAACATTGTGAATGCAATTAATGCCACTAAACTGTACACTCAAAAACAAATAAAATGGTAAATTTTTATGTTATGTATACTTTTGCTAGAAAAAATTAAAAGAAAAACAATAAAGAAAAGCCTTTTCCTGACCACCAATTATCTACCAACTTAGAGATAATTTCCTCAGCCTGACATTGGGGTTCCTCATCAAATAGCCTTTCCTGCTCTTCCTCCTCCCTCTCCTCTTCCTTCCTCACAACTCACATTCACTCCCAAACTGCACAAATCACTGTTCCTGCAACATTTTAAAATCAAATATGGCAGAAAACAACTTGAATTTTCCTTTTTATTGAAAATAGAGCCTGGCATTCTCTTACCTTTCACAAAAACACAAGTTCCATTTTCTTTGTCTTACTAATAATACCTATAATTTATATTCTCATTTCTAACTGCACCTCCAAGTTTAAAGGAGCATTATATATAACATATATAAATGGAGTCTCTCCAATGTTTTTGTTTGGACATTAAAATATCCTGCAAATGCAAGCAGCTCTATGCATATAAAAACAATGACAATTTCTAAAAAAGACAGAGTATAGTCTATTACCTATAGCTGTACCTGCTAAAAGTGCAGTAAAGAAAAAGAAATGCAGTGATTTCCTTTTAGCTCACTGGCTGTAAAGTCCTCCAAGAATCATTCATGGGTGGAGTAATTATTGACAGAGCTGAACAAGTAACACTGGCTTCTAACAAGACCTGTGACAATGCATTATCTTCCCTTAGATTTCCTCCCTAGAGCTCTGCCCACAATCAAAGGGACATTAAAATAATCAGAATGTAATATATGTAAAAAAAAAAAAAAAGAGGAAATCAAACATATAGGATTTTATAGGTATTATCAGATTAAAGTGCTTTGTCGCTCCACTAAATGTTTAAGTAACTCAATTGAGTAGTATGACTGCTTTAAATGCAACACTATTTTTAATAAGGAATGTCCTTGAAAAGACTTGAAAATATTACTTGGGCTGCCAAGCTCTAACAAATAGGCATTACCATACTTAGTCAATTATTATCACTTAAATGTATTATTTAGCAAACCTTTGGATCGTAAATCTGAGAAATTCTATCGGATCTGCCTGAATTACACATTCCTACCACCTCTCGCACATCCTTCAGCTCCACACAAAAGTGAAATGAAGCCAAATATATCACAGCAAAGGGGACAGTGTACCAGATCCATTCAACAATCTGGATATATGCAGAGAAATAATGTTCCATTTGTTCTCTCTCAAAAGATTAAAAGCTTCTTAACATCATTCCCTTTGCAGCTTACCTCAAAGGTGAAATTTACAGCATGTCACATTTTATTTTAAAAATGTGTATGCTTCATAATAATTTCATAGCTGAGTGCTTTATCAGCAATTTTTACATGAGAGGCATTCAGATTCTGAAATGGTATAAAGGAGATTTCGTATTTTAAGCAATAGAGTCTACAAACATTTTTAAATTTAATTTGGTGGTGTGTGTGTTTAGTTTTTAATTTGGCATTTGCAATCATACCCCGCTAGTGTATTATTACAATAGGCTGAAGATGAATCCCAACACATTTAAGGACAATGCTAAATTTTATGTTCTCGGAACTACAGTCACTTCCAGCAAGAAAATGAATAACTGAAAGACTAGGTACTGCAAATTTTTGTGAAGTATAATCTAAAAAATTCAAAATATATTTTTGGTCCCAGACAAGAATTTGCATAGCGAAGTGGCAATGTCCCGATGTCTACCTTCTGGTAAATCAATGGGATTTTGTAAACTGTTAGATTATCAAGGTCAGTGCTTTCTAGCGCCAGATTCCTTCTGATTTGGTGAAATCAGTCAATACAATGTTTTATGATGCAGAGTTTTAGCGAGGCTTCTTCTATTATAGTCTTAACAGGAATTATCTCTTCCCTGCTGTACAAATTCACTGCACAAAGGGATCCTTTGTGTCCAAAATCATTATAAGCAGGCCCCTGTAACAGGTCCTCTTGGAAGGCTCACACCTACCATTTCCAATCCCCTCCAAGCCTTTCTGTGTAACTCCCAGGATCCATAAGCAACAGCATTCCCTGGCTTTTCTTTTCCTGTTTGACAAATGACTGAACTTCAATAAGGAAGCCATTGAAAGCAAATAAACTCCTTCTCCCTCCACTACTCATTAGAGCCTTCTTACATAGAATAGGGTGCCCCTCAAGCCAATTAGAACGTCGATAAAAAAATGTTAAGGCTGGGGTACACTTCAAATGTCTATAAAGCAACAGGTGTTTGTTCAAGCAACAGGGATACAGCACAAAACATAAGAAGTTGAACTTACGTTCCTACAGCCCAGCGTAGTTTCAGGAGTATTTGCACAACAAACAATCCCTTAAGTCATAAGGAAACTTAACTGGATGTTAGTAGAATTGAGGCATCTAGGATTCTATCTTATACACATCTCTGCATTTTGTATATTTCTGCAAAATGAAGAGGTTATGTGGAGAGCCAGAAACATAGCAATACTTATCGTATACCAACCCCATTGGCAGCTGCCATCTGCACTATTGTTTCTATTGCCGATTTATTAAAATACCGCCCATCTCCACCAACCACCAGTGAGGATCCCTGGCGATCTTTTAGGTCTATAGAAAAGAATAGACTCTGGATGAAATTCTCCAGATAGCATGGTTTTTCCTCGAAACAGTAGGTTTTCTTCTGTAGTCCACTGGGTCCTGGTTTCTGGTCATAGTAGGGGGCTGTAGCAAAAGTCAACAGAGGGAGGGGTCCTTCTTCCATTTGTCTATATTTCCCAGAAATCCATTCATCAAAATCAATCATCTTTCATTTCTATCACTTGGTGCAGCGAGGGTGTCCAGAAAGTAGTCAAGAGTTCCCAAAATAGTCTGTCTAACCCGAAGCTGCAACGGTGCTGTCTGAGTAACTAAAACAGGGGTGGTGCCTGGATGATCCGCGATGAGAAGCGGGGTTAATTCCTGTTGTCCTCGCCTCTGGTGAAAAAGTGGAGGCCACATACCCACCCACACCCACCCGCAAGAGAGATCTTCAAAGTTGTTTTGATGAGGGCACTTCTACCCACATAACCAAGCCAAACAGCCTTCAATTATTTTTGCCTTGTTTCCCTGTTAGGGTGGAGATGGCTCTAGAGGGTGCTGTGTGCAGCAGACTTCAGTTACAGACGCCGGATGGCTGCCAGACACCACTCGGAACCAGGCAGAGAGGGAGTGGTGACCCAGAAGCAGGTTCATGAACAAGACACCCTGCTGTGGCTCCTGCGGCTCCTGACAACCCTTAAACCGGAGCCTCTCTGGGCATTCACCACTGAGGCAACCGGTACCTAAGCTGTTACATGCCATCTAGCAAGTTAAAGGTCAGTCTTAAAATGGAAGTGAAGGATCGCAGTTACCTCTGGTTTTCCTACACAAGTGATGTTTTCCTTCCCATATGCAATCAGAGTTAGAAGATAAAACAAAAATATCTTGGGCCTCGCTGGTGGCATGGGGGTAAGTCTCAGTGCTGTCACGCATTCACCACTGGCGCCTGAGTTTCATCCCAGCCAGGGAGCTGACCCACGTGGCCCAATATATATATATTAAAGAGCACATTTCTTTCCTGACCACCTAACACTTAACGAAATAGTATTCACAGTTACCCAGAAATAAGCCCTGAAAGAGCAATGGCTTGGTCACTCCCTTGGACCTACAGCAAAGTGGAAATGACTACAAAATCCCTAAAAAATGTAAGCAGAACAGGAAGGGAAGAAGTATGCATTTTTGGATGTGTGAGGCTTGATCAAATGATTGGAAAAATAAGACGGCATAAAATTACATTTTATGTTTTAATTTTCTCCATTTTAAATAGAGTTACTTTTAAGAAAAATACTTGTAGTGAAGCAGTTTAAGTTCTTTGCATTTGAAGCACCTAAAATATTTTTAAACTTTCAAAGTAAATTTAATATCCCAGTCTATTTTATCCCTTAGATGTTATTAATAATTTTTCCATGGATATTTGCATTTAACATGGATATGCATATGTGGATATATGCATTTAACAAGCAGAAGCTGCCTGTTACTACGTCACCCTCTTGTTAAGGTTTTGATGAATTTATTAGGATGGATTAAAAGTAAATCAGTATTTGCTGCACTACACATTCGGGGAGTTTGGCTGAGGAACTGACTGAGGAGTCAAGGGAAAACTGAATAATCCCTGGAGAAGCAAAATCTGAGTATTTTTCTACTAGCTTGTCAAGCAAGGTCCAAAAACAAACACACTGGGGACAGCAGTCTGCCCTTCATGAGGAAAGAATGCCCAGGTATGTTCAGGACCAGAGATAATGGGTCCATGAGCAGAAAGCAGGCCACTGGCAAGGAAGCCTGGACTCCTTCAAATGAAAATTGTGGGGGGGGACAAGCAGGAAGGGACTATGTGCAGGGGAAAAACTCAAGAAATACCGTTAAAATAATCACAGGGCACATCAAAAGACAATTAGCTTTTATAGTTTATATTTGCCTCTTACTTAGTTCTTAGAATGAAATTCCTTATGAATTAACTTACAAAGTGAGTTTACTTTAATGGAAGTTGATATACCAATTGTTTTTCAACTTAGTACAAATGAATTTTTTAGTTCATATTTTTAAGTTCTGCATCATCTTTGGTTTCAGATAAACTTGTAAATTAGTTCAGCATGTATGTGTTGACGTATTTAACAATGGGCCCAGATTTATGAACTATCAATCCAATAATCTTTTCACTGGGAATGAGAACTAACCACACATCATTGGTAATTTTCTTAATATGACCTTGAAACCCCAGAGTAGACTCAGGAGCAATTGGTCACAATGATGGCCCAACATCCCCAACCAAACTCTTTAGACCACACATTCCAGCAGGTTCTCTGCCAGTGGCTGCCATGTTCTCAGGGACTCTCTTTCTGAAGTTGAGGTTAGAGAGTAACATTTTATTGTTTTCTTCCCATACATTTATTTATTTTATTTACACTTTATGGTTGATGCAAATCAACTCCCCAAAATGAGAAATGATGAACAATCAAAGCATTATTTTGCAAATTCAAGAGAGCTATTCAGCAGGTCTTGCTTGAAAGGATTGTACAGTTTGCATTGTTTCTTGATGACTAAACACCTCACAACTTAGCAGTGTGTGTACATGTGAATTAAGATTTGTTTCCAAAAACATTTTTCCACACTTTTTAAAATATTTATTTATTTATGCATACAAGAACTGGGGTACAGGTCAGAGGTGGTAGTAGAGAGTGAGAGGATTCACCAGAGACAGAGTGGGGAGCAGAACAGGTGGATACACACATGGGTGAAACACACCCAAGAGGGGAGGAGTGGGCAAGACAGGAGAGGTCTGCTGCTCCACGTGGGTCAGCTCCCTATCTGAGGATTGAACCCACACTGCAGTGGCTGCAGGTAGCTTCACAGTGCTGCGCTTTAACCTGTTGTGCCAGTAAGGAGGGCGCTAACAAAAGATTTTCAACTCAAATAAGCCAAAGACTTAAATAGATTTGCTAGAAAAAATGAAAGATAGCTTTAAAGAAAAACAATGGAAAAAAAATCACATTCATGGATTGGAATATTAAATATCATACAGATGTCATTTCTTGTCTAGTTGTCCTCTAGTAAAATCTTCATGGCTAAAGTAATGGACACCAGTATTGGAGCATCAAGAGGTGATAAACGACCTGCCTGTGGAACTGGGTCACCAGGTGTACCCCGTGACCCCTTTAGGGTAAGAATGTCTGTATGGCAAATACACATTTTGATGTCCTTCATCTGAACTACAGACTAGAGGAGATTCCCATCACCCACAATTCTTGCACCTGTCAAGGAACACCATCAATTTAAATGCATACCAAATCTAAGGTTCCAGGGGAATTACTCCCAAATGGAAATAACAATTTCAGTAATTATGTCTGGCTGGCATATTTGTCAACATGCAAAGCTAAGCCAAAAGAATAATCCTTGCCCGACAAAAGCTTCTATTCTAAAAATGGACCTGAATCCCTATTTTATGGACACTATAAAACTCAACCCCATATAAAAATATTACCAGAAGCAGCAATGTTAGATGGACTGTGAAGTGAGGTAAAAAAGAAGAGGCATTAAAAACATTAAGCTTCCTGAGACACTCAGACTAAGTGGGGCAGCTATTAAGAAACTCATTTGTTTTAGCTCTCCAGCAAAGGTTGAACTTCATCTTCAGAAACGTTACTGTCGAGCATAGCGAACCCAATTTGGCCTAATGAATTCGCCTGCATTGCCAGTACTCCTTCACAATGACACAAATTACATTTAAACCATATGGGGGATTTAAGGATTACTCCCTTCAGACAAGGAACGTTCATACTGGTCTTGGGTCCAATCAATTTCATAACGGCAGACTCATGAAACCCTTTGCTTCCAGCTCCACGAAGACTCCAGCTTCCCTTCTCATCAGCAATGATATCTTCCTAGTCAAGCAAAGCAGAAACTGTAGGTTTGCCAATCCTTTAAGCCATTCTTTCCTTCCATCAGTAAATATTTTGGGGGTAGTTAACCGCTATGACTTAGGGCATGCAGGAGGGCCAAACCCAGGCCTGAATAGTTTCACCTCATCACAAATGCATAGGAATGGGAATAGGGGGCATTGGAAGTGACAACACTCTCTAGGTGCTAGCTCTAGAAAGAAAGTAACTTAGCTGGGCTAAAAGCAGAAGGAATCTTTAGACCTTCAGCCCAAAGTTCTCACTGCAGGTGCTTGCCCCCCAGGTACTTGTGTTTCCCAGTGTGGGAAACACAAACTGAGAAATAGTAATTCATTTTTCCAATCAACAGTAAATAATGACATGGTAAACATGAGTGTTAGGCAAGGCACTGCAGGATAACACAGGTCCACAGTTGAGAAGCCAGACAACCAGGGCTCAAGCTTTGACTGTAAATATATAGAAGGTAGAATTTTGAGCAAGTTACATAAGTGAACTGAGGCTACAAAATGGGAATAACGCTCAACATTGTTCTGAGAATTCAATCAGGTAACATATGTTAAAACACTTAGCTCTGTGGTTGGCCTATAGTATATCATCAGTAACATGAGCTCCCTCACCCTTCTGATCTTCAATTTTTTCATCTCTAAAGTGAGATTATAATACCTTCTTCACTTTTTGTGAAGTTGACCTCCAGGATGTCTATGAAAGACTTTGAAATGGTGTAAATATATGAACATGTTTTCATATTCGGAATGGAGGTAAAGATAGAAATAAAGGTGAATAAACCACTGTTCTTGGGAAGTTCATATGTTGGAGCTGCATCACAGTGTGATGGCCTCAGTGCTAACCTAGGGATGTATGGCAGAGCCATGGCTCTCAAGAGGTTGCAAAGATGGTGTGAAACTAGAAATATTGGGGAAAGATGATAGTCGCATGACCAGATTAAAGTGTATTTATGGATATGGAGAGATATGGAAATTTTTTAACAGGAGGAATATAAATTAATGTGTTTCTGGAAAGCTGACTGTAGACTTGCCAACTCTTTAAACCATTCTTTCTCTGGTTGCCAGTAGTGCAACACACAGTTCAGAGAAGGAGAAACTGGGAAAAGATTAACCAAGACTTGCAAAAAGGGCTCCTTCCTCAACTGAGATACTTCTGAGAATCCTGGTCAGTGTGACCTTATCAAGAGCTGCAACTCTATGGTCCTCTTACCTATGATTTTAACTTTGAGTCTTTGGATCATTTTGAGCCCCAACTGGGTTATTTCCTCCAACATGAAGACATCATCTGCACAACCTCTCTTTTCTCTGATCCTTTCTCCACATAGTGCTTTATACTCATTCCCTCTCATCTCTGAGAATTGCCCCTATTCTACCCAACAAATGAACTCCTGGGGCCATTTTTCCACTACAGGACCTTGATAACAGGCTATGATCACTGGGGGTGGACACCTGACCAACAGGCTATGATCACTGGGGGTGGACACCTGACCAAAGCTGTTGGACTGATCTTATTTTCTCTCTCGACAGACTCCAAAGTATGCAAATAAGATCCAGTTAGGCCAAAAG